TTTCTTTTCTTTATATATATTTAATTATTACGAATTAAATATCTATTTATTTATTTTTCACAGTGGCGTTGTGGCCTATAACGACACTGTGTCGCTATAGGCCATAGCGCCACTTATTTTTTTTTTTTTTTTTAAATTATTAACTTAATTTGTTTTAAATTTTATTTATTTTTTATTAGCAAATAAATATTATCTTCTATTTATAAGCTTATTTTCTCTGTAATTTATTTTATTTTCTTTATATATATTTAATTATTACGAATTAAATATCTATTTATTTATTTTTCACAGTGGCGCTATGGCCTATAGCGACACTCATAGCGCCACTTATTTAAAGTTTGATTTTTTTAAATTATTAACTATATTATCTTTTTAATTATTTTATTTTACATTATCATATACATTTTAATTACTATTTTATAAACTTTTTTTTTTCATTTATTTCTTTATTTAATATATTTTTTGCTTTTTTTTTTTAATTTAAAATATGGGGCGCTATGGGCTATAGCGTCTTCGTTTAAGCTGTTAGTGTCGCTATGGGCTACAACAATTTCGTCAATATAACTTTCATGGCTTCTCTGGAATCACAAAAATACCACGTATCACTGGTGTCGCTATGGGTCATAGCAACACCGTTATAAATAGTCCCAAAGACATAAATACACATAAATACTTTCAAAAGAACCTCGTTTACGTAAAAATTTTTCTAAACAACTCGGTCAAAAAGCCGTTGTTTACTTTATGGATTAAGATTTAAATGTCATGTCACGAACTCAAAGATTCCATCGAGCCAAGTGACTAATGATAGTTTGTATACGAATGAGTTAAAAAAAAAAAGTGAAAGCATTAATGCATTGTACTACGATGATTATCAAATTCTTTCCATCAATCAAGTTTAAATATTAAAATAATAATAATGAAAACTATTTTATTTTTTTTAATCAAGGAAAACTATTTCAGTTATTTGTAGTTTTAATATATTTTCTTTTTATTACTCAATGACAACATTATTGAATACTGATTAATGGAGTTGAAACCTTGAGCTTCGAAATAAAAAACGACACCAAAAAAAAAAAACCTTGAGCTTAAAATCTAAAACCTAACACAAACTATTCAATTTTCCCATAACTGAGTCGACCTAAGTAGATATATTATATGAGTTAGTACGTGATACTATATAAATAACTAAATAGACTGTCAGCAACATCATTAAATATTTAAAATCCAATAATTGGCTAATTAATGTTATGTATGATTAGTGGAAAGACAGCCACTTAGTGTTGTCCAAGGTTTATATTTTTAAAATATATTTTATTTAATAATTTTATCTTTTAACAATTTAATATGTCTAATTTAATATGAAGTTTTGGAGAGGAATAGTTACAATTTTTGGACGGTAATTTAAATAATATAGTTTTTTTTAAGGGAACAAAACTAATTCATTTCTTTCATAATAAGAGAAATAATACATGGTGGAATGAAATCAAAAGTGTGAGGACTAGTGTATGATCTTGTTGTCCTTGCTAAGGAATGAACAACATGATTTGCTTGTCTCTTAATAAACCTAACTGAGAAGTTTTTATGAGAAGTTAAGATAGATCGTCCTTTTTGAATCAGAAAACCATATTCAGATAAGTCGATTAGATCCATGTAAGTCATCAACCACAATTTTACAATCAAGTTCAATTTAGTCGTTCTCATAAGTAAAGTTTGTGAGCCAAGACATAGCCTCAATACAAGCTATAGCCAAGACATATTCTGTTTCTTATTATTGGTGTTCCATTTTAGCTTTTTAATTTTATCCTTTGAAGATATAGTTTTTCCCTGATCGTGGTTGGTTATAACTTGGTTTTGATTTTAAGTTAGTACTTAATTGATGCAATTTATTATTTTACAATGTTGGATTTTTTTATATAAAAAAATTAATGCCGAGAGAAATATGTATATGAAAAAAAAAAATATTAGGAGATAAAAAATCTACTTGGAATGAACTCTACTCCTTAAAATGAATTAGTTTTCAAATATCTCGATTGAAAAAATATCTTTAATACAAACTTGAAAAAAAATTAGTATACAATCTCAAGATAATTAATAGAGAATGTGCTACATTAATTGCACAAAAAAGCGAGAGAATGTTCTGACAAAATTAACTTATTATTAGTAAATTACTATATATTATATAAAATTAATTTATTTGATAAATGATTATTTCAATGATAATGATTATAAATATATATTTAAAATTTTCAAACTTTCAGAAATTGCTCTAGTTAGTAAAATATTATTATTTCAATAACGATGTACAAACATTCTAATATATTTAATGTGGATTAAAAATATTAATTAATGAAATTATATAAAGTAAAAATCTCTTTTATTTGAATAGTCATTTAATCAAAAAAAAAATTTGTATTTTAATATAAAAATCATAGCATATGTCATGTCACAATACAAAAAAAAATATCATGTGATCGACTTCATAAAAAAAAGGAGTATTAACATAATTTCATGAGAATTAAAAATAAGGTGTCGAGTTTGATATGGATATGGAGCAGCTAAGCTAAGGTATAAAAGGCAAAGGAAGTAAGAATATGAAGCTTTCCTTCACAGTCCATAGCATTGATAATAAAATAATAATTATGAGTTGAGATATATAGAAGTACAAATTAGCACGTTAACTAAACTTATATAATATACTTTTCCAAATCTACAAACAATACAAAATGCCTGCTGAA